ACCAACTACCATTAATATTGGTTGTAATTAATGACTAATATGAGTATAAAGTGGACAAAATTTTAGAGCATTGCTATTTTATTATGGCAATAGACATCTGCAACTTCAATAGAAAGTCCTATGAAAAGATTATCTCATCCATGATACAATATAAGAACCTGCATAAAATCTCATCTAATATCAAGAAATAATTTAGAAGTACCATTGAAAGCAAAACAAGGTGTCATGGATATATATATATATATATATATATATATATATATATATATATATATTTACCTCAATAGTTACTTATATGATTAAGTAGAAGTAGGTAAAATAGAATAATTTCATAAAGTCTTCTAGAGAAGGTTCCCAAAAGCTTCATAGACCCAGTTTGGACTTTAGATGTGTTCGTAGGTTAGAAACTTGGTCAAAAAGCTAATCATGTATTGGTAGCTTGAGGAATAAGTTACCTCCATGTAATAGCTTATCAAACAAGCCAACTACGTAGCACATACATAGATCACTTGCCTTGCAAGATAAGACATGTGACTAGCAAAGTCAACACATGTTGGAGGTCCTATAGGACATTACCATGTGGCTCTTAGTTAGATAGTATACATAGAGGTAAGAGTGAAGCCTTCTTCACTCTTGTCAATGCCTTTCTAGTCTTAGTCTTGTTTCAAGACTTTTTAGTCTTCTTGTTTTTTGGCAATAGCCATTCTAGTTAATATTACCTCACCTTTTGAGTGACTTTCTAATTTTCTTCAGTGGTAGAAGAGTATATTGAGGATTCCCTTTCTTCGAGATTCATGTCCTTGACACAAGGACATTTTGCATTACTAGAGAAAGATTAATTGTAACAAGACATTCATATTGTTGATCTATAGAGACAAGTAATTGGAGCCATTTTTTTAGAAGTTTCTAGAATTAAAGCTAGGTTGATGGTCTATATAAGATCTATCGTGAAACATTCTAGAAGGACTAAAGATGGTTATCTAGATGGAATCCAACATTAAAGATATTCTAAAAAATTCCAAAATGATTGAATAAAGTATAAATAGAACCAATTTAGGCCATTTAGAAATTCGGTCATGTATGGCTTTGGTTCCTTTCTCTTAATTAAGTTTGGTTTGCATTCTTTTTTATTTTATTCTATTCTATTTTCTTTTGTTCTATTCTACCTTTTATTATTCTATTTTATTTAATTCTATATAATTTTTTTTTGATCTATTCTATCTTATATTGTGATGAAATTTATGTTGCTATAGATTGGAAGGATTTTAGACCTTAGAGAGAATTTTGTCTCATTTCAATATATGTCTCTAAAAGATTAATAGATTAAAAACTTGACCAATAAGTTAGCCATGTATTGTATGTATTGATAGCTTGTAATAAAAGTTAATAATATAATGTACATATAAGAAACTTGACTTATAAATTAATATGTGTGTCTCTCAAATTAGACTTAAATTGGAGGTCCGAAAGAACGTCTCCATGTAGGTCTTAGATAAATAGTATATATAGAAGCAAGAGTGAAGTTTTTTTCATTCTTGTCAATTCCTTTCTTGCTTCTTGTCTTGTTTTAAGGGTTTGTAGTTTTCTTGTCTTTTGGCAAAAACTATTCTAATTTCTTTTTAATATACATATTTCTTTATTTTTAATATTTTATTTATTTTTAAAAAAATCTCACTTATATATTTGTCTTCATTAAATTTTTATCCTTGACAGCAAAATATGAATATTTATAATGTCATACATTTCATTTTCTAAGATATTAAGCCTAAATTGACATTTATCAAAGATAAATAGACTAGAGGCATTTAAAACAAGATAAAGAGCAAAAAAAGTATTAACATAATTGAAGAAGGCTTCAATTTTGTATCTATATATACTATCTAATAAGAAGCTGTGTAGTTATATTCTATAGAACCTTCAATATATATATATATATATATATATATATATATATAAGTATGTCTACCTTGCAAGACACGTGTTTAACTTACAAGACAAGATTCACATGTGAGTCATATATCAAACTTCTACTACAAGTGATCAACATGTACAATATGTAGTCAACTTATTTGCTAAGTTTTGAACCTACCAAGCACTTGTAGATATATATAAGTTGAATTTATATCTATAAAGATTCTACATAAGATATTATGAAATTTACTTCTACTTACTTCCACATAATTCTTATAAATCTAAATAAATATGTATGTTTGTGACAATAATTATTTTTTAAATTATATTATATTTTTTAATTAAAAAATATATCTAAGATAATTTGACATAGTTTTATAAAAATGATTATGATACCATATTTATTTATCTTCATGCTTATATATATATATATATATAAATAATATTCTAAAACTACAATCTTTATAAGAGAAAGAAGATTGAATTCATGGCTTTTATGCCTTATACACAAGTTATTAAAAGTTTATAATATCATGTAATATATACAAATAAAGATATTCTTGCTATTTTTATATATTTTTTAGTTACTTATTCTTAAAATTGATTGTTGTGGTAAAAAAAATTTATATATTATAAGCATTATTATTTTTATTTTTTTAAAATAAATATATTTTAAAATTTTATATCTACTAAAATTATACATAAGATATTTTTTATATATTAAATAATTTGATATAATAAAAATTTAAAAATTATAAAAATAATATATTATTATTTTAAAAAAATAAATTTAAATTAAGATAATTAACTTCTAAATTATTTTGATGTTTTAAAATTATAATATCAACCTATTGTTTAAAATAATCTTAGTTTTGATATTATAAATAAAAATCTTATTAATTTGTAAAAAATATAAATCTAGTCTAAAAAATAAAAAGGCCAAGAATATATATATATATATATATATATATATATATATATTTAAGTCATTAAAATAGCTATTAGTAAGTACAAAGAAATTATAAAGTCTTGAATTGAGACTAGAATATAACAAAGAAGTTGATAAGATTGAAGAAAATCTTAATTTTCCATCTATGTATACTATTAGTGAGATAATAAATAAATAGATAAAAAACCATGTAAATCTTTTTAAGAATTACAAGGCTTATAGATAAAGCATCTAAATTATAGAATATTTCATTTGTAGCTTTTTTAGATCATAGGACATCTTAAATAAGTAATTTTAGCTACATTACATACTTATAAATTTGGTCACTGTCTTAGAAGCTTCCTTGATTTTGCATTAAAAAAATAAAATATATTAAATTTATTTTTAGTCATCTCTATTTCTTTAAATAATATAAGTATCTATAAAAATATAGAAGTATTATTATATATATATTTTTAAAAATATATTTAATTTTTTAACAAATTTAATTTTTTAATTCTAAAATTAAATTAAACCTATTATTTTATTCAATATCAAAATTTTATTTTCTTTTCTATTGTAAAGATTAAATCAATGAAGTTTGATTGCATAAAGATGCATTGGTTTTTTTAACATAAATCATATTTATTCAAAATATAATTTTAAAAATTAATCAACTTATTATCTATGTTATTAGAATGTTATCTTTTTAAAATAATTACTATCAACTATGGTGCATTAATAATTATTTTTTAGAATAACCAATCAAAATAAATATTATTGATAAATTCTATTTAAAAATTAAAAATATTTCTTTCAATTAAATAAAATAAAAATAAAAACATATAGGTTATTATATTGCAAGAATCAGCTAAAATTATACAATGATATTCTAAATCTATTATATAAACATATTATATCAATTATAGATATATTATAAACCATAAAGATCAAAGAACATATAAAAATTCTATTTCTTATAAGAAACAACTTGTAAGGGCTACTTTACACTGTGGTTGATTATTGAGTAGACTAATAATTTTAGCAATATGATTGATGGAAAAAATAAAATAAAAAAAATAAGTAACTGCCCAACCTTCACTCTAGAGGCAAACCACCAACAAATGTTTTGGTCCATAGTGCTTACATGGGAGTACATTAAGTTTGGTGCCAAAGAGTTATTTGATTGGCAAAAAATTGGGCCAAAAAGATATGAACTTTTCAATTCTTAATCAACCAGACAAGTCAAATGTCATATTATTATATTCTAATGACTTCTACATTAGCCTTTCATGTAGAATTGTCTGAGGTCCACTTACCCTTAGCATGAAGTGACCCCAAGATACCAAATTTCGTTCCAAACGAACCATGTTAGAAATAGGGTTTGAAAATTTGTGAATAGGGTAATTGACTTGTGAGACCTAGCGAAACGTGCGGGTGTCATTATCCGCATTGAATGTCCGGGGCCCACAACGCGTCCGTCGGTGCTCGACTCATTTCCGCAACACCTGATTGAAAATGCGCCTTCCACGATCGCCAGCGCAAGGGACGGGTTTTCCTCCTGGCAGCATCACATGCACGAGTTGAGAGCAACTCACATGGACATTTCATCTGCTGCGACTACTTTTCCGGCGTCGCTTTGCAATTTGCTACACCACCCGAAGAAATCGATGCATCGGGTGGTGTAGCAAACCGATGCACCCGAAGAAACCATCCTTCCATGTGTATCCACCGCGTACTAGTGGAAGGATGGTTTCTTCCGTCTGGTTGTAATCATCGTTCGAACTGACAAATTTTTCATCAAATTGATGCGCACTGCCTCACAGGTGCCCCCGACCCTTCGCGCACAAATAGAGAAAGCACCAACATGAATGATCGAACAGGTCACGCCCATTTGAAGGTAACTGGAAAAAAGTACCAAAAGGTCCTTTGTCAGGGAGAAGATATTTGCACCCGCTATGGGGTGTCCAGCAAAAGTACTGCTCAGAAAGATTCCCGATGGAGGATGGAGCTGAATCGAGCACCCAGGTCTTTTACTAGATCCCCAGTGGGATAAAAATAGGACAAAATCCGTATCCTAATTATGGTTCCAGGGAACTGTTTAAATCGTAGGGTAGCAGGCTGCGGTGCGAAACCCTAAATAAATACTTTCTCATCACCAGCGCCATTCGCCCGATGTTCACAGGCGAGGACCAGTCAACTTGTCGCTCATCAGTTATCAGTTATAGCAAATGATTCGATTCAATTTGGAGATGCTCCATCATCGGTGTGTCACAGCTTCGCCTACAGTTACCAGGAGGTGCCACACAATTCCCACATATAAAGAACGATCGGGCGCTCAACGGATATAGAGTCTCCTGCGCTGTTTCTGTTGCTGATCTGCACCTTGTAGCTTACATACAACTCTTCTCCTGGTATTGCTGAATCTATGCAGTGATCTCGCAATTTTTGGTTGCTCCTGCTGCAGCGCTGTTGAAGTGAGTTAGTGTGCTTCTTTTATTGATAGCGTGGCACTCAGGAGATGATTAATATTCAGTTTGCTATCATTGCTGGTGCTTTTAGTAGACCCTTGTTATTGTTTATCATATTAAATTATGTACGGTTGAAAATGAACGCGAGTGACAGAGAGATTCATTATGTCGATGCTTGCATGTGCTTACACGATGCCGTAACTGAAAGCGTTATCGAGGTTGGGCTATTTAATGCCATGATGCAAGAGAAAGACTGTCTTGCTTCGGATGTGGGAGGTTACAAGAGTGCCTAAAACACCCTAGAATGCTGTGTCTTCATCTAGTTGCTTGTGTTGCGTGTTGTGAAGTTGTCAGCGATGAGAGCTATAAATGCTGTACCACAATGAATGTCTTGTCTGCGAACAATAAACGAGCGTGTAACTGATAATTTGGTATTCCTGAATGCAGGCTGCATAAGTCCAAGACTTGAGTCGTGAAGAACACGATATTTCACCTCGGAGGCCATGGCGATGGTGATGGGAAAGTCCATGACAGCAAATGCAAAGCACACATTGCAGTTCGCTCCATCCTCCACGCAGAAATCTCAGGGTAAGCACCGCCTGTTAGCGTCCAGCGTTGCCTTCCAGACCAGCTCATCTCTCATCGCCAAGGGCACTACCACCATTTGCACGCTTCCCAAATCGCGATCCCTGGCTGTCAAGGCGGTGGTCACTAATTCCTCCGCAACCGTGTCAAAGACTCCGACTGAAGAAGCTGTCAAAACCCGCAACCCCGATCTTGCCACTGTTCTCGTGGCTGAGAAGCTCGGAGAGGGCGGACTCGACCTGTTACGCAAGGTCTCTAACGTCGACGCCCTGTACAACCTCACCAACGACGAGTTGTGCGAAAAGATCTCCAACTACGATGCCTTGATCGTCCGCAGCGCCACCAAGGTCACCCGCAAGGTCTTCCAGGCCTCCAACGGCCGCCTCAAGGTCGTGGGCAGAGCCGGTGTGGGAATCGACAATGTGGACCTCGACGCGGCCACAGAGCTGGGCTGCTTGGTCGTCAATGCACCCACCGCCAACACTGTCGCGGCTGCCGAGCACGGCATCGCGCTCCTCACGGCCATGGCACGCAATGCCGCACCGGCCGACGCCTCCATGAAGAGCGGTAAGTGGGAGCGCAGCAAGTACGTCGGCGTGTCGCTGGTGGACAAGACGCTGGCCGTGATGGGGTTCGGCAAGGTGGGCTCGGAAGTGGCACGCAAGGCCAAGGGTCTGGGAATGCACGTCATCTCCCACGATCCCTACGCGTCCGCGGACCGCGCGCGCGCAATCGGGGTGGAGTTGGTGAGCTTCGACGAAGCGCTGGCTCGCGCGGACTTCATCTCGCTGCACATGCCGCTCACGCCCACCACGGACAAGATTTTCAATGACGATACCTTCAAGAAGTGCAAGAAGGGAGTTCGCCTGGTGAACGTGGCGAGAGGAGGCGTGATCGACGAAGAAGCGTTGCTCCGCGCCATCGACTCCGGGGTGGTGGCGCAGGCAGCGCTGGACGTGTTCACGACGGAGCCACCCAAGGAAGGGGACTCGTCATGGGCTCTGGTGCAGCACAAGAACGTGACCGCCACCCCCCATCTCGGGGCCAGCACGGTGGAGGCCCAGGAGGGAGTGGCTGTGGAGATCGCGGAAGCCGTGGCAGGAGCACTCGCGGGGGAGCTGGCAGCGACCGCCGTGAATGCGCCCATGGTGCCCGCGGAGGTGATCACGGAGCTGGCGCCATACGTGACATTGGCGGAGAAGCTGGGACGGCTGGCGGTGCAGCTGGTGTCAGGCGGTGCGGGTGTGAAGCAAGTGAAGGTGGTGTACAGGTCTGCACGAGACGACGGCGATTTGGACACACGGCTGTTGAGGGCGATGATCACCAAAGGACTGATCGAGCCGGTGTCGAGTGCGTTCATCAATCTGGTGAACGCGGACTATGTGGCGAAGCAACGCGGGTTGAAGATCAGTGAGGAGCGTGAGGCCTCGGTGAGTGCAGCTGGAGCGCCACTGGAGAGCGTCTCAGTCACCATTGCGGATGTGGACTCCAAGTTCGCAAGTGCAACAGGAGATCTTACCCGCAGCATAACCTTGGAAGGCAAGGTAAAGGACGGCGTACCTCATCTGTCGAAGGTTGGAAATTTCAATGTGGACGTGAGCTTGGAAGGCAGTATCATCTTTTACCGGCAGGTAGACCAGCCTGGGATGATCGGGAAGGTCGGGTCGATTTTGGGAGAGGAGAACGTGAACATCGCATTCATGAGTGTGGGCCGAACGTTGCGTGGTTTAGATGCCATCGTTGCTATCGGCACTGACGAAGATTTGAGCAAGGCTACCATCCAAAAGTTGGCTGACATTCCTGCCATTGGTGAATTGGTATTTTTGAAGTTGTGAACACTACATTGGTGAGTTTTAGGATTTAGTCAAGGTGTAAGAGGTTAAGTTACGTATAATCTGCCAGGATGCGCTATAATTTCGAGGAATTCCATGTACTGGGTAGAGTTTATTGTTTTGATGTGAAATCATGGGTCGCAGGTTCGATGTTATCGATTACGGTCTGGGTTTGCTGGAGCCAGTAGTCAGGACCCAGCTTTGTCATATCGGCACAGGGATTCCAGTTGAGCAAGATTGCCTTGTCTTCATGGATCTTAACAACTAGATCATCAGTTTTGTCAGCAATGAGTTTCACAATTCTGCTGTACTGATCCAGTCTTTGATCGAGTAGTACGGGATGTTCACCCTCCATGTAATGTTGCCGGTGGCGCATTGGATCAATTTTTTCCACCAAATACTTAACGACGATCAGGTCTTTGTTAAGGCACATGAAAGGCAGAGTTGAAACTCCAGCTGCTGATAAGATCATACTCCGAGCATACAATTGATATATCCACTTTGATTCCAGATTCGCTTCAGATTGAATTGCTAAAGTAAGGAGCAGCAGGATCAGCGTATTTCGTTGTCATTCCTTCGGTTCATTTCCTCAATCTATGTAATGTATATCGGTACACTCCTTGGGTATACTTAAATATCGTAATAAGCTTATTCTATAATGTGAACAATGTGTCCCTTGGAGCATTGATGCTTTTTTTAGAATCTGTCTTCAATTTGTCCCCTCCGCGGCATTACAGAAGATACTTTCTATATGCAGAGAAAATAGTCAATGTGGGGTGTTCAATGTAGAATAGTCAACAATAGAATATACTCCATACTACCAAGTGGCTATGTTGAAGATGCATGGAGTGACATACAAGCTACGTCATCACAAGAGGAGTATGATTCACTAAAGCAGTACCAGGTTAAGCATCCTCTTATTCATGAGTGGAAAAACTATAGTACCTATTGGTCGTTATTGTGAGAAAAGAGAAGACTTCAGAGCCATATCTAACAAAGTATTTGTATAGTGACTAGAGAAAACCACATGTAAAGAAAATTATTCAATTTAAAGGTAAAAATCTTATTGAGAAACAATTAATCAATGATTCAAACTACTACTACCATTCTTTTTCACCATAGATGTAATAAGTGGCGGTAGAGTGTCAAGGACAAAGACTCGATGAGGGAAAATATACACCAAAAGGCTATCTCGATATAATAAGTCAAAATATAAACAAGTAGGTATATTAAAAGGAAACTGGAATGGCTATTGCCACAAGACAAGAAACTAAAGACTCTTGAACCTGGACTAGAAGCAAGAAAGGAGTTGACAAGAGTGAAGAAGCCTTCACTCTTGTCTCTATATATACTATCTAACTAGGGGCTACGTGGCGACGTTCTATAGGACCTCCAATATGTGTTGACTTTGTAGGACACATGCCTTGACTTACAAGGCAAGTTTTTCTACGTGTGGGCCACATAGTTAGCTTGATCTTCAAGCTAACAACATGTGTGGCACATGGCCAACTTGTTGACCACGTTTCTAATCCAAAAAGTCAATTAAAGACACCTATGAAGTCAAAGCAGTGTCTAGGAAGTTTCTAGGAAGCTTCTATATTAAATATTATAGAATTAACTTTCTTTTATCTACTTTTACTTACTTCTACCTATTTCTATATGTAATTATTAGCTTACATGATTATAGCCGTGACATTACCCCCCCTTCTAGAGACGAGTTCCACGAGGAGCGGTCATCATATGTTGAGGAAATCTATGATGCGACAAATTGTATTCGCCACATACTCTGATCTCTGTTCTCTTCGAAGATGATTGATAGGGCCTCTCAACCATCGATAGTGTCCCATACCAGGGCGGGAAGACCACCCAGTTATTTGATCATTGTTGAGGCCTTCGTAACTTCCTTCGAATAGAATATTTGGAACACCATCAGGAGTTGTTCCTACCTCTAGCAAAATCACCAAACATCGAGAGTCCCTTCCCAAATCGTGATACCAAACGCGTTGTATCTCACCATCTGTTCGAGGAAGGACATGTCGTTCTTGAAGATCTTCATCTCGATTGCGTCGTCTTGAAGGTTGTGACAATCGTAATGTCTCGTCCGGCAGGTCAGCAAACGAAGGTTCTTGAGTTGAATCCGCTGGTTGTTGGCTCTCCATCTAATTAGCATCACAAATGCAAAGAAGTTACAAACAAGGATAGGAAATTGAATGTTATCTTGCCTCAATCTTGTCTCTTTTATAAGAGAGATTTTCATCATGGTTTTGATGGATGTCGTTGATGAAAAACTTTGACTTTAGCTGATGCATTTCCTAGATTCCTGGATGGCTCCCATGTGCATTCACTAATATCATATCCGCGCCAATGAATAAGATATTCCAGCTTATTTCGGCGCCGCCTTGAGTCTAATATCTCTTCCACCTCAAATTCTTCATTATTATCTACTTCTATAGGAGGCGGTGGCATTTGTCTTCTTCCTTGTATATCCACTGTCTTATATGGTTCAAGAAGAGACACGTGGAATACAGGATGGATCTTCATTGACTCTGGTAGATGTAACCGATATGCAATTGGGTTGATCTATTCAGAAACAGAAAAGGGGCCAAGCCTACGATAGTCCAACTTGTCACAAGATCGAGTAGTCTTGATATTGCGACGAAGTAGCCATACCTTATCACCCACGTTGATTTGTGGTTGCTCCTTACGATATAGATCTGCGTTTATCTTTTGTCGTTCTTGAGCTTCCTTCAATTGCATCTTCATTATTGTATGTAACTCTGACAACCGATTTGCCATATCTTCTGCTGCATGATTATCAACTTTTGAAAAATTAAAAGTATCAAGTCGTGGATGATAGCCATAATTGGCAAAGAAAGGTGTTTGTTGCGTAGAAGAATGTACCGTATTATTATAAGCAAACTCTGCCAATGGCAGAAGGGTTGTCCAATCATCTTGTTGGTAGTTGATAGTACACCTTAAATATTGCTCCAAGACTTGGTTTACGCGCTCTGTTTGACCATCGATTTGAGGATGGAAAGCCGAAGATAGCTTTATGTCCACTTTTAAAATCTTGAAAAGGGTCCTCCAAAATCTTGACACAAATTGAGTTCTCCTATCTGATATGATATCTTTAGGTAATCCATGATAGCGATAGATATTATCAATGAAAAGCTTAGCTGTTTCTTCACGTGTGATAGATTTTGTACATGGCACAAAATGTGCCATCTTGGTGAAACGATCTACTATCACAAATATAGAATCATAAGATCTTGAGCTTGGAAGATCTGTGATGAAATCCATAGAAACAGAAGACCATGATTGTTCTCGTATAGGTAATGGCTGAAGAAGTCCGTAAGGTCGATGACGAGGAATTTTTGATCTTGAACAAATATCACATGATTGTACAAAGTCTTTGACTGACTTCCACATTTGTGGCCACCAAAAATCTCTTGATATGAGTTCCAAAGTCTTATTATATCCAAAGTGCCCTACTGCTGGAAAGTCATGACGTGCTTGAAGAACACGTAAATGTGCTTCTCCTTCTGGAACATATAGGCATCCTTCAAAATATAATAGATTATTCTTGAACTTGAACTTAGAAGGATCATGAGACTTGGAAGAATTATTCTCGATATCATAAACAAGAAGGTCTGAGGACATACTGGACTGGATTTGCTTGAGAAAAGTTGAATCAACAGTCAATGTTGATTTCATTGCTCGGAGATGAAATTGCTCCGGTTTCAAGAGGACCGTTCTTTGTTGCTCAAAAGCTGCATCTCCTTCTTTTGGTGCAAAATAAGAACGTCTAGATAGGGCATCAGACAAACCTTGTTGTTTTCCTGGCCGATAAGTTATAATGAAGTCGAATCTTGACAAAGACATACTCCAACGAGCTTGACGACGATTCAACACGCGTGCTGACATGAAATACTCGAGGTTCTTGTGATCTGTATACACAGTGACTGGACTAGAAGCGCCTTCTAGATGATGATGCCATTCTTGAAAGGAATCCATGATTGCAAGAAGTTCTTTATCGTGGATCTCATAATTGATCTCGGCTGCTGAGAATTTTCTTGAATAAAAAGCTATCAGATGAAGTTTGTCATCTGTTCCCATTTGTGATAAAACTGCACCCAAGGCAAAATCTGATGCATCTGTTTCCATAAAAAATGCCTTGAAAAAATCAACACGATATAAGACTGGTGCAGAGACAAACGATGTCTTTAAGGCTTCAAATGCTGCTTCCGCTTCTTGATTCCATTGGAATTTATCTTTACTAGTCAAGCATGTAAGTGGAGCTGCAACTCGTGAGAAACCTTTGATGAAGATCCGATAGTAATTGGCAAATCCCAAGAAACATTGGACATCTCTTACTGTCCTTGGAATCTTCCAATCCATGATTGTTTGGACTTTCTTAGAATCCATCATGAGACCATCATTTGAAATGATGTATCCTAAAAAGTCAACTTGAGTAGTGTGAAATACACACTTTTCCATCTTGGCGTACAATCCTACATCTCTAAGTTTTTGTAATACTTGACGAACATGTATTTCATGTTCTTCGACATTCTTAGAATAGATCAAGATATCGTCTAGATAGCAGACGAAAAAATTGTCTAAGAATTCATGAAATACATCATTCATGAGATGTTGTTCAGCAGCGATTGCCTCAGTCTTCCCAAAACTCTACGAAGAAGAAAAATCCAAATTCTATGTCTTTCCTTCCCCGACCCGAAGCATGAAGCTCCTCTCTCTAATTCCCTTGATCTTCCAAAAACCTCCAATGAAAAACCGAACTGGTAACCTTGCAAAAGCTTGAAAACTCGCCCCCCCCCCCCGATTCCCCCGAAAAAAAACCTCCCCCCTCAAAACTATATCCCCCCCTAACCTTATCCTCTGAATTTCTTCAATCTTCCGTCTTAGATCCGGAATTGGCTCCCACCTCAAGCTTGGATCCAAAATTGGCTCTCGCCGTCAAGCTTTCTCCTCCGTTTTTACCTTTAAAAAATCCATTTATCGAAAACAACGTTCCTTGAAACGGCACAGAGAACAGAACAGCCTGAAATAATCGAACTCCGTAATCGGGACCACATTGAGTCGCCCGACCAATTCAGGTCCTATATTGGGAAAGATGCCCGTAGTAACCTGGATGTTCCTATAATTGAGTCAAATTGGTCCTCGCGTCAGATTGGCTAAGACCCGTAGTAAGACCTGGATTTCTCGTAATTAGACTGCATTGGGTTGACCGGCCAATTCAGGTCTCATATTGGATAAGAGGACCTGGATTGGATTATCAAAATTGGATCCAATTGGCTCCTCGAACCCGTCGTGTAAATTGGTCCTTCTCTTCCTGCTGACTCCCGTTATTGGAATCGAACGGAGCATTTCAGTATGCCTCGGCTGACTGTAACGGAGTGACTGAACCTGACCACTCAGTATTTGTACTGGAGTTGGTTGATGCTCCCAATATT